CCTGAGCTCAAACAATCTGCCCGCCTCGGCCTCCCAGAGTGCTAGGATTACAGGCGTGAGCCACCGCACTTGGCCCAGATATTTCTGATAATAAGACTTTTGTGGTGGATCATAGATGTATAGTAAAACGAAAAATATTTGATGATATCCTTTCAGTAAATACTGTAACAGGTGCTCTTTTCATAATGTTCCTTTATATAAATTTATGGCAGTAGAGGCCAAAGTGCCATTTGGTCAAAGCATATCTGTGGCACAGGATATCTTCTGTGAGAATTAAATTAGGTTATGTATTTAAAATGCTTATTGCTGTGCTTAATAGATGTTCAAGAAATGGAAGTTAAGTAAGTCATACCAATATGTGAATAACTGATGTAGCTCCTTTACCTTCCTTAGAAACATGTTTCTTCTTATAGTTGTTTTTTACCCTTTCACTCCTGAATGTCCTTAGAGTCTGCAAAGGATTACTTCTATAATAGCTCCTTAGTGAGTGATAGTAAGAATTCCAAGAATAGTAAAAAGGGACTACAAAGTAGTTTATGTATGGATTGTTTTAAACCTGATTTTTAAAAGTTGAGAACTACCTGCTGTTGTTATGGGAGTAAAACATAACTGTGGAAATTAGTTTATTACGGTCATGAAGAAGACATAGTAGAATGGTAGTTAGCATCCCAGATGAAGTAGGCCAAAACCAAAAGAGCCATAGCAACCAAAGACAAATTAGGGAGTGAATAGGTATGTGATTTCAGTGCCCAAATAATAAAAGCCACTTGCTATCTCATCCTCTTCTGCCTCTGTTCTCTTTTTACCCTGTTATAAGACATTTCAAGAAAAGTTATACCTATAAGTCTACATGTAGTGTCAACTGAAAATATCAAACGAAGTGGTGAGTGCAGTGTACATAGTTCTTTGATAAATAAGAGCCAAAATTGATTTTAAGTTTTATCCCTTGGTTGAATACAGAGATTTCAATTTGGGGAAGGAGGAAGGACTGTGAAGTTTTATTTTGAGGTGGTGGTAGAGTAGGTAAAAATATTCAGTGAGTAGTTAGTCATAGAAGAAAAAATATGGCCTAGTGATAGAAATAAGGAAGCTGTTAAAGTGGCCTCGCTTTCCTAGGGAAAGAAAGAATAGCTAAGGAGCACAGAGTATACCTAATTTAAAAACCATGGGATGGCCGGGTGCGGTGGCTCGTGCCTATAATCCTAGCACTCTGGGAGGCTGAGGCGGGTGGATCATTTGAGGTCAGGAGTTCAAGACCAGCCTGAGCAAGAACGAGACCCCGTCTCTACTAAAAATAGAAAGAAATTAATGGACAACTAAAAATATATAGAAAAAATTAGCCGGGCATGGTGGCGCATGCCTGTAGTCCCAGCTACTTGGGAGGCTGAGGCAGGAGGATTGCTTGAGCCCAGGAATTTGAGGTTGCTGTGAGCCAGGCTGACGCCATGGCACTCTAGCCCGGGCAACACAGTGAGACTCTGTCTCAAAAAAAAAAAAAAAAAAAAGGAAGAAGAAGAAGAAGAAGAAAAGGTAGATAGAATTTTTAAAACTCTGGATAAAGCCTTACTTCCACTGATTTATCATATTTGAAGAAAATGTATCCCTCATTTCCTCAGTGGCAAACATTTTTTTTGTGTGTGTGTGTCTTCACAGGTGAAAAGCCAGATCCTGACCAAACATTTAAATTAACATCTTTACAGAACTTTAGCAACTGTCTGCCCAATTCTTGTACAACACTAATATCTAATCATAGTTTATCTCACAGACAGCCTGAAACAGTTCTTATGGAAACACCCCAGGACACAATTGTAAGTGCATCATACTTTAGTGTTTAAAGTATTATGAAAGCTACGAAGAATGATCTGAGCTAAATAATGTATTGTAAATGACATGGTAGAAATTTTCTGTTTCAGGAATTAAACAGACTGAATTTAGAATCTTCCAATTCAAAGTACTCCTTGAACACAGATTCCTCAGTGTCTTACATTGATTCAGCTGTAATTTCACCTGATACTGTCCCTCTTGGAACAGGAACTTCTATATTATCTAAACAGGTTCAAAATAAACCAAAAACTGGTCGAAGTTTATTGGGAGGACCAGCTGCTCTTAGCCCATTAACCCCAAGGTAAGTCAAATAAAAGATTCTTTAAAATGTAATATAATGCTAAATGATCTTATTATAATAATAATTCATATTACTAGTAATAGAAATTAATCTAAATAGCAACTTCCTAAATCACTATGGAAATAGGGGCAGTCTGTTTTCATCAAATGAACTAAAAGAAATATAGCACATGTGATAAAAAGTTAATATTAAATATTAGAGTAATTTTTAAAACTCTTAAACATGCCTTAATTAGCTAGTGTATGTATTACATTGTTGGCCAGATGCAGTGGCTCACTCATGTAATCCTAGCATTCTGGGAGGCCAGGGTGGGAGGATCGTTTGAGCTCAGGAGTTTGAGACCAGCCTGACCAAGAGTCAGACCCCGTCTCTACTGAAAATAGAAAAATTAGCTGGGCACGGTGGCGTGTGTCTGTTACTACTCGGGAGGCTGAGGTAGGAGGATGACTTGAGCCTAGGAGTTGGAGGTTGCAGTGAGCTACAATGACTCCGCTGCACTCTAGCTGGGCAACTAAGGGAAACTCTGTCTCCAAAAAAAAAAAA